GGAAATGCAGGGTTACAGGGATAGGGGACGGGGTTGGGTCTGGGTGGGATGCTGTTCAGAGGGTTGGTGTGGACTCATTGGGCTGAATGGCCTGCTTCCATATTGTAGGTATTCTAGATTCAATTGGAATTATAAAGGAAATTTAGTAAAATCTCCCCTGAGTCCTGGACCTCAGGCTGCATAGGATGATATCCGAGACACTTCTCTCCTGTACGGGGTCGTCCACATCCCTGATAGAGACAGCTCTCACTCAGTGTCATTGAGTAAATCTGTGGGTAGTGAGGGAGCTGTCAGCCTGTACAAAAGCAATAACCTGGGTGGGCTGATGATCACAGGTCAGCATAATGTGATAAGGAGTAGACAAGGCAGGGGAGCTAGACAGGAGTAAAGGAAATGCTGATCAGAGCATGGCAGGAAGGGTCAGAGTGTGTAAACCTAAGAATGCCTGAGCAGATGGGGCTAGAAGTCACAAGAAATAGCAATAGCACACAACTAGGGGCTCTGTATCTGCCCACACGTATAAAAACCAAATGAATCAACAATGAAAAAAACAAAGAACTGCAGATGCTGGCAATCTGAAACAAATCACAAATTGCTGGAGAAACTCAGCAGGTCTCCCAGCACCTGTGGGCAGAAAACAGAGTTAACGTTTCAGGTCGAATGACCCTTCCTCTGAAAGCTGGTCTAATGGTGACTGTGCTAGAATCTGGTCAGGGTCTGAGTAATTGGGGCTGTGGAGAGATGGGGTAGCACAGCCAGGTGGCAATTACAGTAAGGACCATCTCAACATCAGGGCATGCTCCATGGGTATTCACTGTACACATCCCACAGCCAGGGACATTTGTATTCGACATGTACCAGCCTGTGTGAACCCTCCTGGCACATCTTTGATCCACTTCCAGGACGCTCCTGCCCTTCAGTACTGACCACCCAGCTGGCCATTACCCACCTTGTCTCTTTCTGCCCCATTGGGAGGTTTATTTCCTCCTGGAATGAGAGAGAGGTGTGTATTACAGTGGGTGAAAGTGGCTGGCACAGCTGCTATATTTGATTTTGTTTTTATTCACCCAAGGGATGTGGGCATTACTGGCCTGGCCAATATTTATATGTAGAGGGGCTGAATAGCCTACTTCAGCTCCTCATCGATTAGTTTATATTTTCACTGTTTCCGGGTGAGGCAGTGTCACGGTTTATCCTGCCAGTCTCAGACGTTATCGAGTGATTATTTTACCAAGACTGTTCTGTGGTTTCACAGGAGCTTATGAAACAAACACCTGATGGTCAGGAGAAGGCAAATTTACGACTGGCGCTGGATGCGATGAAGGTAGGCACAGGTGCTAGGCAACATGCACTGGGTTCAGACTGAGTTTCCAAGATTAAAATAAAATAAAATACCAGTGAATTCTCAGCACTAATGTTGTTTCCAGTGCTGGTCCTTATACATCACAAAGAAGGTCGGGTCCTTGGGGACAGTGCAGAGGAGATTTATTTAAATGGGACTATTTTATATGATGCAGAAACAACCATTACCTTCTGTGGTTGAGGTAAAGTGCCACCACCAATTCTCCTTTCTGTACTGGGTTTGAGGGTGTGTTCAGTTAACAGTTAAAACTGGTGAATCTTAACAAGAGGAGACACTTACCTTAATAGCAGCTGTAGTTTATTGCAGAACAGTACTTTGATCCCAGCTGATAGTACTGCTGGAGAATGCAGATCACAGAATGAAGTCTGGCTTGATAGATCATATATTTTTGTTGTAGTTAATGTAATGGTTATTCACTGAAACATAGTCACATGAAGCTGCAGAGTTTCTTTAACAGCAGAACAGAAGTTTATTAAACAATAGATAAAAACAAACAAAAAAAAACTTGAACCAAGTGATCCAGATATAAAATACATTTGGAAAAATCTTTAAGGTTCTTGCGAAGATTTACAAAGTTGGAAAAATCTTAAAATAGCCAGGAAAACAAATTTTTGCTCTGTTCCCCAAAGCCATTGCTTTTCAGTGATTCAAATGTGAAGAAATTATACATTTATATTAAATCTTTTAAGGTCAATTTAACTGATTCTGACCAGTCTCTATCCTGTGAAGTGTGGAGTATTTTTTACACAAATGTTCACAAAACTGAGCTTATACTTTCTGAGCTTCTAATAATCTACAGATTTCTACCCAAACTTTCCTGTTTGAAAGTTGCACAAACTGAACATTTCTAGTGGATTAACTTATTCTCTTCACTGCTCTGGAGAGAAAAAAAAACTCCTTGCCAGGAAAAGGACTAACCAGCCATCATCAGGTCTCCTCTAAACTCCCCTAAAAATTGTATTCTCTGATTTTTCAAATCAAAAATCAATCCTTGAGTTTTCTAGACTGGAAACAAACTGATGGTTTTTAATATTAACTGCACCTGTCATGAACCACCTTAGTATAACATCTTATTCCAGTAACACCCAGGGTTTTCTGATCTGACATAAACTTGCTTGGGTCACTGTTCTGAAAGGATTGTTTGACCTAGTTTTTCATTTGAAAACCCTTTACAGAAGTAACTGGTACCCATATGCCACTATTTTTCAATCCAAGCTTTAAAATATTTTATATATAAATAAATCGCACACCTATCATCACCAATGACAATAGGAATAAGTTCAATTGGCTAGTTAGACAGCATTAGTAAGACTATCAGAGTGAGATTTGTCTCCCTCGAGATCTTCAGTGAGCCTTTGATTTCCCACCCAAAGCTGCAGGGCATCATCTGATGGGATGGAATTTAATACAATCTCCAGCAATAACCCTTACTCAATGGGGAGCAGGGATGAAGGACTTCAGGGGACAAGCTGGAATTGTTCTCCTTAGAGCAGAGAAAGTTCACAGGGATTTAATCAAGGGTGATGAAGCGGATTTATTTTACACAATGAGTTGATTTGACTCCAATTACAGACTGGTCCCACACACAGAGACACATGTTACACAATCTCAATCCCAATGCATGTTACACCCTCTCAGAACACTTTCACACTCCTGGACTGGTCACAAAGTCCCAGCATTCCCTCTTTTGAATATTCCTCAGCTAATTGAGTGGTTTATTGATTTTTCTCTGTAGGACTTAGCTCAATATGTCAACGAAGTGAAACGAGATAATGAGTGCCTACGAGAAATTAATCAGTTCCAGCACTGTATTGATAACCTGGTAAGTTTTCAAAGCGAACTGTGCAAACTGAACATTTTGCCAGGCCAGTTTATAATGCTTGAGCTGAACTGTGCTCTTGGTAAGTGACAATCTCTGTGTTTCAGAACCAACCTCTCACAAAGTTTGGTCGGCCCAAAGTGGATGGGGAGATGCGGCTAATGACCCTGGACAAACGGACTCGACAGGATCGGTGAGTTAGTGGATCCTCAGTAACTCCGTGTTTCAGATTTACAACCAGCAGAGTGCAGTGCAGGACCAAACAGCAACAGCAAAAGGAGCGGCATTGAGAAATACTGATTACTACACAGCTTTTCAACAAGAAAGATTCGCTGAATGGTTTCAGATTGACTGTGAACCTGTCTGTGTGTGTATGTGTGTGTGAGAGAGAGAGAGACTGTGTGTGTGTGTGAGAGAGAGAGTCTCTGTGTGTGTGTGTGTATGTGTGTGTGAGAGAGAGAGAGACTGTGTGTGTGTGTGAGAGAGAGAGAG